CACTCGGGGGGCCCCCCCCTTCCCACTCGGCATCCAGGGCCCAGGAGGGAAGTGGGGGCGACCTGGATGTCACGTGGTGACCGACCACGCAGGTCGCTGCTCTGAGTGGACATGCCCACGGAACTAGGAGATCCCAAACCTGGAGGCGGTACGAGGGAGCGCGTGGCTGGGTGTCACTCACGGGCCCCGGCTTGGTCCAGGGGAGAGGCTGCCCCGCAGGCCAGCGGCAGTGTCCGAGGCCGAGGACACACGCTCTGCGTCTAACACGGCCACACCCACTCGGCCACAGGCACACGCATGTACCGAGCCAGCGCAGGTGCCGCCGCGGAGCCAGGACCGCCTGCAAGGCCGCTGGACCGTTTCTCCAGAAGCGGAAACGCACGGGCTCAGGCACCACTGCTTTCGGGGAGATTTCTCCCAGCGGGTCCCAGAGACAGCTCGGGACTCCAATGGCCCCCCTCCCGGTCTCTGCCCCGTCTCTGCCCCATCCCCGCACAGCCCTCCGTGATCCTGGGCGTGCAGGGCGGGCTCTCCCGGGGGGTGGCTGCTGCACACTGATCTCCTGAGAAGTGAGGGCGGCCAGAGGCTGGGGTGAGGGACAGGACTCGGGGCGCTGAGGAAGTGTGAGCGTCAGGAAGACCTGGAAGGGCCTCTCGCTGAGACAGAGCCCAAGCTGAGGGCAGTGAGCGCTGGTGTCCGCGCACTTTAACAGGAGGCACAGCTGGGCTCGGTCTGAGCGCACGGGCTGGCCATGAAGACTTGCTTTCCCGCTGGAGAGAAGGGAGCAGGGGAGGGACACCACGGGTGGCGGCTGTGCTGGAAGCTCATGCGCGGCCACGGGACCTGGTGGCGGGATGGCGGGGGCTGGGTGGACGCGGGCACATCGAGGAGGAGGAGGAGGAGGAGGAGTAAAGGACAGAGTGGCATGGCGGCCTCGGGCAGAGGCAGAGCGGGTTAATGGTCGATCCTGACGAACTCAGAGGCACACCCGCCCGCGGCCCCAGGCGAGTGCTCAGGGGCAGGTGCACTGATGCAGCCTGAGACCCAGGGCCCCTCCTCGCCGCTCCGAGGCGGCCACAACCCTGGCTGACCAGGGGCCTCGTGAGCACCACAACGAGCTGGAGTAGCTGGGGGGCGGCAGCGGGCCTGTCGT